AGTCGCAAACAGCTCAACTAATTTAACTAAAGCAACAGGCGCATAGATATGCTTGAAGACAAAATTGATCAAATAATGGGCCAGATCAACCTCGTCACCCCACGACGTCCAGAGCATCAATATCACACCCCGAATAGTGAAGTCAGCAGTACCTACCCACACGCCGATACTATCGATGTAATCAAAAATGGTCTGATCAGTCATGAATACGCAACTCAGCTCTTAGATCAGTACCGTGAAGCCATGCTGTTCTTCCCATTTGTCATGGTGCCCGCAAGCACCACGGTCAACAACCTAAGAGCCGAGAAGCCATTCGTACTTCTCTGTATTCTGGTCTTTTGTTCATTCCACGACGACTCGTTGCAAAAGTCACTAGAAGAAGTTCTGCAATCCTATGTATCAAATGAGGTTCTTTGCTCAGATCATGATAGCCACCCGCCTTCTTTCGAGATTCTGCAGGGACTATTGATCATCTTAGCTGGGTATGTATGGCCTTGAGATTTTGCTCTTGACTTCGCCAGTAGAGAAAGACATACTAATTATCAAATAGAACACGCCAGAGGCATCAACTATGTCGATTTCCGTATTACATGCAGCTTGCCGTTGGCGTAGTAATCAACGAACGACTCGATCGACATCCGAAGTACAGAGTCGCCACACGGCTTGAGGTGGGTGACGAATGCGATAAAACAAGAAAAGAGACAGTAGCCGATGAAGGTCGGGCCTTGATAGGATTATTCCTACTCAACTCCACGTAAGTGAAGATCTTCAAGGGAAACGAGACTCATACTTACACTTTTCATCAGTGATGCTATTATCAGACAAAAGACTTGCACAACGCCCTGGACACCGTTCATAGAGTCAATAGCTGAAGAATTGTCTCGGGTGGCCGAATATCCTACTGATCGGTATATAATCTATTACGTTCAGTTACAGCATATGCTGCAGAGGTTGGATGCTCTTACTATGAGTAGTATTGAACGCCATCCGGACGTGGAGCAACATATCCGAGCATTTAGAGCAGAGGTTGAACAGTATAAGAACCAATTACCTGTTGATCCAACCTGTGACCGTGAGTATTTCAGTATCTTACTGAGTCCCTCCCCATTAGACATGCACTTGAGCGAGGTACATCATGACGATGCTAATAAACTCCTTCTGCACAGCATTCATCGCAACACAATACCACACCCTCGAACTCCAGATATGTCAAATAAGTCTCATAGACACTAAAGCAGCATCCACACCATCCGACAGCTTTCTCCTAGTCTCCCGCAGCGACACCCTCTGCCACGGACTAGCAGCCTCAAAGAGATTCCTCGACTACTACCTCACACTACCACCAATAATAGAAAAGAACTACAGCATCGTGATCTGGCTATCATCGGGCTTTTTGGTTGCCGCCGCATGCAAACTAGTTCTGGCAGCTTTGCACCCTTCACTCCGCCTTAATACACAGGTACAAGAGCTTCGTGACGCGCTTGATATGTCGAAGATGCTCCAGTTCTTTGTGGCTCGTCTCGATGCCATTGCGAAGACGTGTAAGGATGGGGTATTTTCGCATTATCACAAGTGGACTCTGGCTGCTGCGACGTGGTTTGATAAGGCGTATCAGATTGCTCAGTTGGAGGCGGCGAAGAGTGTGAGTGTTGAGAATGAGTCTTTGCAGTTTGCCGTGCAGAATCAGAATATAAATCAGGGGGTTCAGGCTGATCCGAATTTGTTTGGGTTGGATTTCGACATTACAATGGAGGAGTTGATGGGGGGTTGGTTTGGACCATTGCTTGGTATTGGACATGTTTGATATCACATAAAAGGGCGGAGGAAAGAGCACGTGTGAAACTAGGACTACTTATGAGAATTCAGAATGTTATGAGATATATCCAAACATATAAATATTGTCAGTAATTCTCATAATAAGACAACGACGCTCACAGAGCTTCATGCCAGCACGGAAGAGTAGGATATCATATCAACAAGGCAGAAATTGATGATTGACAGGAAAGAAAATAATTCGAAACTGGAAAAGAATTTCTTATGTATAAAAAAAAAAAACATTATTCTGATCTTTTTTACCTTCATTATATTAGATTGGGCCTTTATATCTGTTTAGCTGGGTTAAATATCTGACAGATGTCAAAGTAGCTGCCAGGCAGTTGGGTGTCGATCCGACCTCGGCGGAACCCCGCAGTATCTCATCTGAGATGCAGGTGTGACGTTTTCACGGCTGCAGGAGGACAGCGATAACCACCAATAGCTTTATTAAGGGTGCTGCCAATGTTGCCACCTACCAGCAGTCTATAGTTGTGATACTTCACGGAAAGGTTCAAAGATGACACAGATAAATCATACGGAAGCAATGGCATTGTTGATGCTCCCCCTCACAGCATGAGCTCCCCACCGTTGCAACGAGACGGCAAGTACCCCGCACGACAGTTGGAGAAAAGCGGATCACCGCCGATTATTTAAGAATGACACCCCTCCATCTCCATCTTACTTGACCTTGGCAGTTAGCTTTTAGAATCCCGTCTTTCCCTGCTTCAATTTAATCTCATCAACTCTTCTCCATCGCCGTTGCAGTCCTAGCATCCTACCGACACAATGTCTCTCGCCACTCTTGACGTAAGTCCTCCCTAAAATTCATGATGCCGAGAATAGGAAGAAAGCATGAGCTCATCACCCTCGAATAATAGACTGCCCAGCATCCCAATCTCCCGTCCGCGTCGGAGACCCTCTTCAAGGCCAAAGCCGCCAAGAAGCTGAGCTTCGAGCAGATTGCCCAACACATTGGCCGCAATGAAGTGGCTACCGCTGCTATCTTCTATGGCCAGGCCAAGGCCTCCCCCGAAGACATCGAGAAACTCGCATCGCTCCTCACCATTCCTTACGATGCTCTGGAGGAAAGGCTTAGTGGTTTCCCCGACCGTGGTCGCACCGTGGAGATGCCTCCCAAGGAGCCCTTGATTTACCGGTTGTATGAGATTGTGCAGAACTATGGGTACGCATACAAGGCGGTGCTGAATGAGAAGTTCGGTGATGGTATCATGAGCGCTATCTCTTTCTCGACTAAGGTGGAGAAGGAGACGGATGCGGATGGAAATAACTGGGCGGTGATTACTCTGCGTGGAAAGTGGTAAGTGGTTTTGGATGATTGATGGTCGCTTCGCTGGTGAAATACTGACTTTGTTAGGCTGCCCTTCTCGCGGTTCTAAATGTGCAGTGCAGGAGATCGGGTTTGGTGAATGCATATATATAGTGTTCTGTAAATGACTGGATAATGAATCACTTCTCTAAATCGTCTTAATATGTGGCTAGTGGGCCTGTATTGACTGGCTGTAGGTACAAAGTGAGAGAGAAGTAATCAATTTGCTTAGTTCATTCCTACTTCAATGCCACCTCATTACATGCGATATGTGAAACGTCCCGTAGATCTTGAAATATGAAACGCTTCCCAGCAGCGAGTGCATGCCTTCCTATTTAGGCAGGTGTCGTCTAGGGTGACTCTCATTCATCGCCAGTTCGGTGAATTTCGCAGAATTTGACCAGCGCACTCTTCTAACTCCCCTGTTCAAAACTAAGTCTACTCCCCCTTCTACCATTCAAACACTCCATCCACATCTACTTGACAAGTTACTTGACGAGTTCAAGATGTCCACTCAAGCATTTTCCACCAGGGTGCCCTGCACCTACAAGGAGTGCAGCGGTGTCTTTAAATCGGCAGGGGAGATGAAGAGGCACAAGGCGAACGAACACGATTATTGCAGCCGTTGCGACGAGGATTTCCAGGATGATGAGTATCTCCTGCTCCACAAGATCAAGAGTGACAAGCATATCGTGTGTGTAGTTTGTGGGATCGATTTTCGCAGCGAGGGTGGTAGAGACCTTCATACCCGTCAGGTGGGTATCCTTCATATTGGCATTTGTTGACCCGTCACATCATTCCAAGCTAATTCTTTTGATGTCTCTACAGCAACACAGAACTCCGCAGACTCTGACCTGTTACGGCTGCGGACAGAAGTTCAAAATGGCAGGTGCCATGGTAAATCACGTCGAGAGCGGCGATTGTCCAAACATCCCCTTGTCTAGTCTCCTACAGGAACAGTCTAAGAGACTTCTCTTTCGAGAGGCGCTTAGGACAGGTAACGAGGGTGAGAACGCTGAACCCGATGGCCAAGATGACAACGGCGGAGTCCATATTGATCAGGACCTTTTGGAGATGGACCCTGACGACGAGGCCACTCAATCTGTTGTGGGCGGGGTGAGCGGTCTCTCTCTTGACGACAACGTCCCGGAACCGAAGAGCAAGTCGTCGATGGCTTCTCCGTCTTTGGTGAGCGAGACGAGAGAACAATCAGCATCGGCCGGAAAAATCGCGAGGCCAACGAGCCCACGCCCAGGCCCAAGCAACTCCTTCGGCATTGACCACATTGACGCAGGACACACTCTTCGGGCGCTGGACCGGAACTGGGACCCTACCGTATACTTCAGTTCCTTCCACGGAAAGTTTATCTGTCCCTGTAAGGCTGAATTCTCCAGCATGAGAGACTTTGAGGAGCATGTCGTAACGAAGACCAACCAGAACAGAGGCATTCAGTAAGCTGCTGCATGCTTGGATGATGGTTGACTATGGTCTGACTCACGACTTATTAGGTGCCCTGGATGTCTTCGCATCTTTCGAACGGCGGCTGCCTTGGTGGCTCATTGCGAGTCGGCCAGTACTCGATGCAAGGTGAACCGGGGGCTTCAGTTCAGCCAGGTTATCAACGACATTAGCGGGGGACTGGTCAGGTCAGTTGGTCTGTTCGCAGATGGTAGCGTGGAGTACGGGCCTGGCACGATGGGTCCGAAGCAAGTGACATATGAGAAAGAGCAGCGTAGTTTGATGGACTAATCTTTCGCAAAGTCGGACTTACAATATTCGCAAAGCAGAGTTAGCGCGCGATAACACTGCCATCTGATAATAGCTCAAATCCAAGTTTAATCTACAGCGCATTGATCAACCATCAAACAAGCAATCATCTTAACTCAATTCATTTCTAGAACCAAGCGAAAATAGAGAGAAATAGTAGATGTGATAGAAACACCGGGTATAAGCGATCTCGCAAGGGTAAATCCAAAACCAACTGAAACACCATCCATCATCCATCCATTGGCCATATCCATGAAATCATCTTGACCCAGGGCCGCATTTCATAGCTCGTCTCATAGATGGGCAGCACATGTCCGTTTCCTTATTAATCTTTTTTTCCTTTTTATCTTTGTTCATCAAGATACGGAGACAGTAGTCGAACGTATGTATGAGAGGAAATAAGGTGTGCGTTTAGCAGCACTCCTCGCAGCACTCGAAGCAGAGAAGACCGGCGCAACTAGACGAGGATCACAATTAGCTCCACTGTCATGATGGAAATATAGCTGAAGGGAGAAGGAAAGAAAGGAAGGAAGGAAGGGATAAACATACACTCCGCAGCACACATCACCGGCACCACCACCACGCAGACCCATCTTCATTTCTTCCTGGGTGTTCTGGAAATACTTGTTAGTTTTTATCTATGTTATTTTGATAGATGTTGGAGAAAGGGGAAATCATACAGGCTGCTGCGTAACGACGCGCTCAGTAGAAGGAGCCTCGGGGCTAGAAGGCTGCTGCATGGTCATAGTGTTGGCGTCCCAGGAGGGTTGTTGGGTAGCGGAGGACTCCTCCTTGGAAGACTTGAACCAGTTGAAGACCATTTTGATTGTAGTGTAGTGTAGTGTAGTGTAGAGTGTTGTTGTTTGTTTATAAATAGGTGAGGGTAGAGATAGATAAGTATCTAAGTAGATAGTAGTAGTAGGTAGTAGACAGTTGTAACAAAAATGAATGAAAGCGAGGAGCAACAACCCGCTATTTATGTTTTAAAAAAATGATGATCGGATCCATCCGCCATAGTAACAGTACTTCCAATTTCTCTGGATCAGGGGTCCACGACCAGGCGATTCATTCCGTGTGGGTCAGGGTGTAAGTAAGTCAGTACAGTAAAGTAAGCGTCAGTGTATTAGTAGTGTAATGATACGGGTGGGAGCTAGCGAAGAAGACACAAAAACAGAAAGAATCCGTATGCTTCATGGCTGAGAAAGCGGGGAGGTTGGTATGAATTCAGCCACTCACAGCCACGAGATGGTCCACGTCAACCTCCCGCTCAGCCCTGCCGGCTAGTAATTTCTTGGCACGGCCGACTTGTTTGTCATGGGATTCGCCGGATCAACCCATGATTTCTTGGCTGTCTTGTCGAAGAAGATGGTGTGTTGTGCCGGGTTTGCCGTGGCTGGGTTGGCTGGGCTGGGCTGTGTTGTGGTTGATGAAACTTGGATGCTGGTCTATAATTGGGAGGTGTTATAGACGCGCGGTTCATGCAGAGATCCAGGTGAGGAGGGAGGATGATGTCTGTGTCAGTCTTCTCTCTCTTTCTTTCTCGGTGGTTAACCTGGTATGATGCTTAGTTACTACTTACTTCGCTTACTATAAACTCTGTAATGTCCATTTGATAGGTAAGTAAGTAAGTAGGTATCACCATGGTATCATCCAAAACCTTCCAACATCAATAGTCCCGTAACTTTCATGTCTCCCGCAAACCTAGAATTCGCGGATCGGCAACTAACCATACTGCTTTCGCTCCCATCGCCCGACTCAAATTTGGTCAGTCGAAGAACGCCGCGTTGCTTCTGCTCTGTTCTTGTCAACAGACCCGAATTCGAGCAATCCCAATACACAGGCATTACAATACAACAGGGCAGTTTCTCCAAGCTTTACCTAAGCTTTGCTTGGATGCTGGACCAATGGGGCTGTGCCAATGCTGATCTATTCTTAGCACTATCGCCTAAATGGTCTTAGGCAACCTCATTCTCGTTTTTTTTTTTTTTTTTTTTGCTGCGTACCGATTTCCATTATTCCCTGGTTACCTACCGGACACTATTACCGAGTCAGATTGGCCCGGGATAAAGATACTGCGGCAGTGACAGTATGGAGCAGGGTCTGGTTTTCTTAGACCGTTGGGCCGACCGATTGTTTTCCATGGTCCCTTGCATCAGATTGCGAGTATTGTCTGTCTGTCTTCTGTCTATCATTGTAAAACTCTGCAGGGTCTACTACTCGATGCTATGTACGTATTGTGTGAGGGAGTTTCGCTTTTCCATTTGTTGTCATTGGTTGACTGTTCCTGGTTGAACCTGTGAGTGGCATCCTCATGGAGGAGTTAGCCGCCGTGACAGTGCTAGTCGTCAAAGTGGCTTGTTATTAGCTCCGTGGGATATGTGCCCATCCCATGCATCTAATCTAATAGATCACTTTAGGTGGAACATTGTGGCTGGGGCTGTGTATCAGGGTGCGACATGACGGCGGAGGGGACTATTGATCAAAGCCACAATCTAAACAGGGACGGTCGCAGATTTGACATGGATGTCATCCTATGTTGTACAGTAACCTAACATAGAATTACGAACAGTATTCTATTCTATTCCCTAGCGTATGAGAAACGGCTCTGCCTATCAATCAATTTCCACTGGTGACAGCTTGATTGGTGCGAGGAATAAGCCTCAGATGATCATCCTGCGCGTGGGTACTATCTTGCCTGTAAGTTCCTTTCTTGTTATCCACTCGTGGGTTTGCCGAGGTATTTACGGAGTACCTTAGTCTACTGCGCTTCATTAACTTCAGAGTGCATAAATAGAATGATGGCTTAGCTGTGGTGATGCTGGTGCCTGTCACAGTCATGGCACACCGCTCGCATCATAGTTTATGGATCGGCAGTGTGCAGTGTTCTATTATGGAGATCTTTTCTTGTCGATGCAATGTTTTGAAGAGTAGGTGATAGCTGCCTAGACTATGCGGTCAACTTAGAGAGTATTGGTGTTTTCATTGCGACACTTGTTGGGGATGGTGGATGGTCCCGAAGGTTTCACGAGGGAGTGATGTGATGGGCCGAGACATTATTAGCATTATAACAACAAAGAAGCCTCTGGCACACAACTCATAAATATGAAGTGAAAGGGATAATTCTGTACAATTTCCGCCCGGGGCATAAGAGGACAGCGAATCCGCCTGTCAAAAGTACGACTGAGCTTCTAGAACAGAGCGGAATGGCTTGGCTGGAATGTCTAATAGTCAGTCAATGACGTCCCGTGATCTCAGCCCCCATGAAGAAATCCATGCAAATTTCCAACCATCCCTTAGGGATTGAATATTACACTCGATCATACTGCAAAGTGTCATTGTACAGCAACAATCATGTAAATTATGATGATACTCCGATAGACTTAGTCCATCCCAACCCGATCGCAAATTGCAACCTACGCAAACAACCCCACATTGCGGGGCAGCCAAAGCCCATTCCATTCCCGTTGTCGCAATACCACCAAAAGCTGAAGAAATATTCTCTCTCCTCTTTCACTCTCAACTCAACACACCATCTCCATCACCAATCAATCAATCAACAAATCCACCTCCAAAATGCCACCAACACCCATCCTAATCCTCGACGGCGGTCTCGGCACCTCCCTACAAGACCACTACAACATCACCTTCAGCAGCGACACCACCCCTCTCTGGTCCTCGCACCTAATGATCTCCGACCCTAAAACCCTCCTCTCCTGCCAACGCGACTTCACCACCACCGCCGCCGTCGACGTCCTCCTCACCGCCACCTACCAAGTCTCGCCGGAGGGTTTCCAGCGCACAAAAACCCCCTCGCACCCGTCGGGAATCCCCCGCGCCAGTATCGCCCCCTACCTGCGCACTGCGCTCGACGTCGCCGAACAAGCGGTGCAGGATACCTCAGCCTCTGTGGCGCTGAGTCTGGGCCCGTATGGCGCGTGCATGATCCCCGGGCAGGAGTATAGTGGGAAGTATGATGGGGAGCATGATGATGAGGAGAAACTGTGGAGGTGGCATACGGATCGGTTGGGGCTTTTTGATGATGAGGCCATGGAGGGGAAGGGGTTGCGGGAGAGGGTCAAGTATATTGCGATGGAGACGGTGCCGAGGATTGATGAGGTGAGGGCTGTGAGGAGGGCTGTGAAGTCTTCGAAGGGGTTTTGTGAGGGGGTGCCGTTTTGGGTGGCGTGTGTTTTCCCCGTCGAGGATAAGGATACTTTGCCTGATGGGAGTACTGTGGATGAGGTGGTTGAGGCGATGCTGTTGCCCGTTGAGGGGGGTGCGACGCCGTGGGGCATTGGGATTAATTGTACGAAACTTCATAAGTTGCCCAGGTTGGTTGGGTTGTTTGGGGATGCGGTGGAGAGGTTGCTGAGGGAGGGGAGGATTCAGGAGAGGCCGGCGTTGGTGCTGTATCCTGATGGTACGCAGGGAGAGGTTTATAATACTGCTACGCAGACGTGGGAGAAGGTGCAGGATAAGAGTGGTGCGGATGATTCGGTAAGTGAATCTTTGAATTATCGGGGAGAATTTTGGATGGTATGTGCTGACTGATTTGATAGCGACCCTGGGAGGTGCAATTGTCACAGGTGGTCAATGACGCTGCCGCCACTGGCCAGTTCAGCTCCATTCTCGTTGGCGGTTGCTGCAAAGCTTCGTTCAATGATATCAAGAGGCTTCGCGAACAGCTCCGCCCGGAGTAAATTAAACGTGTATAATATGTATATAGAAAAAGTCTAACACTTTTGTGACGGGTTGCAAATTGTTGAAATTGCATGAAAAACATAATGGGTATCTCCGCCGAAAGATGCACAAATGCACAGAAAAAAGTTGAATTTGGAACCAGTCCACACTTAGAAGAACCAGTCCACGAAGCGTCTCACACGGGTCTTGGGCCCGCCCTCTCGAATGACAATCTCGCCCTCCTGCAGCCGACCGGACCAGAGGTCGATGCTGGAGCTGCGCTGAAACTGCACCACCAGTTAGCTACACCACTCGACACCAGATGAAGACGGGGCTGCTTACCTTCGTGCGGTTGAAAACCTTCCAGAGGATAATCGGCACGATAAAGATAGGAATGCCCACATACGAGGCGAAAAAGTCCGAAGTGGACCAGTTACCCTTGAGGAACACGGGGAAACCCGCCACCAGGGTGATGATCGTTGAGCCAATGAAACCCACCCACGCCGTGTATGGCTGGAAGGGCGACTTCCAGGGCAAAGTGTCCCGACTGACGCCCTGCGCTTTCATGGCGGAATAGAAGCGAATGTAACAGAAGGACAGTGTCGCCCACGCGATTAGTCCAGCAATGGTGCTCAGATTGAGAAGCCAGTCGAAAGCTTGCGCCGGACCACCGGAGCCAAGACCTATAGCAACCGTTAATCGGAGTCCGACACAATAAAACCAGGGTTACTTACTCAGGTACGCCAACGGGCCAAAAAGCCAGGAGGTGATGACGGCAACGTATGGCACGCCCATCTTGTTAACCCGGCCAAACACCTGCGGCAACTGGCGGTCGGTCGTCATGGCCACGATCATGCGGGATCCTACCCAGCAATAGGAATTGCCTGCAGACCAAGCCGATATAAGAATACAGGCGTTGACGATAGACGGCAGAGCGCTAATTCCGGCTTGCTTGATGGCAATGACCCAAGGAGAGCTGTTGGCATTGCCGGAACCAGAAACCAAGTCTTTGTTTGTAGGGCTGACGATGAGTCCGATGAGGAGTGCACCGAGGATGTAGAAGAATGCAATACGGTATGTCACGCGACGGGCAGCTTTGGGGATGGAGTAGTGCGGGTCGACCGATTCGGCGGCAGTGATGACGACTGTTTCAACACCAACGAAACTGAAGGACGCGTTGACAAAGGCAGACAAGAATCCGAGGAAGTGTCCGGTCGGGCCAGTGATGCCGTTGTAGTTCGTCCAGGCTCCCGGGTTGTGCCAGTAGCGGAATCCGATGGTTTGGTGATTGGGACCGCCACCAGAGGTGATGACGATAGCGACAAAAACCAATCCGACAAAGCACAAGACCTTGATAGCGCCTGCGATGACCTCACTTTCACCATAAAAGCGTACGCTCATCAGGTTGATAGCCAAAATCAGCACCAGCCCGACCGTAATGACCACCGCTGGTGTTATGTCTGTCCAATAACTAACAATGACCGCAGAAGCAGATACTTCTGAAGCAATCGCGATTGTATAACAATAACCGTATGTGATAGCGAGGGAGAAGCCGACAGCCGGATCGATGAAACGAGTGGCCCAGTGAGGGAACGATCCCGCTGTGGGCAGCAAGGTAGCCAATTCCGCGATACTCTGCATCACACACCACAGCACAAATCCAATGACGATGTAGGCCAGCAGCAAGCCAGCGGGACCTGCGTCTGCATATGCAGAACCTGTTCCCACGAACAGACCGGTTCCAATGCCACCACAGAACCCGATCATGCTGACCTGGTAGTTTTTCAGCCGCCGTTGGGTAGCACCACGGCCACCGACGTTGAGCTCCAGCTCACCCTTGAGCGGGGGAGCTTCATCGTCGTAGTTGACCACCTGAGGACCACCGTATCCGTACTGGCGGATTTTCTCGTCCTCCATGGTGACAGTGGTGGACTGGTGCATCTTGGCGGGATAAGATGCAGAGGTGTAGGAGTGATGACACACCGAGAAAAGAGGTTCACCCCAGAGTTCTTGTAGGCGACAACGACAGCTCGCCACACTCGGCCACGCGCGGAGAAAAATGTTTTATTCGCCGCTGGGTACCTGCATCGCGACATCGGGAACCACGTTCGCACCACTTGTTCGTGCTTCTCCACCCGTCTCGAGGCAATTCTTTGGTTGGACACGCGGCAAAGAACCCCACTTGCACGGTGTGATTGAGTCGCAGTTGGCGATGGCAATTAGTCACAGAATGCTGTGATACTGGCAGCGCCTCCGCACAACCTGAGGGGAGGCAATTCCTGGGCATCTGGGGCTCTGGCAGACATGTCTTGGCTGTCCTGGGGAAGTGAAAGACATACTGAACTCTGAAGTTCTGAGCGGTAAACTTCCCCGACTCATTGTCCCCTGCGTGGCGAACTGACAATTGACTTTGTCGATCGTTCAAAGTTTTTTCTGGAACGACGGGAAGAACCTCAGTCCGGATCTGTGTGGGCACGTGATGCCACCGTTTACGGGACTGAGTAGCCCTCGTCTGGTCTGTTTCAGGCCTAGTCTCCGCATAATGTAGCTTAGTCATATGTGTGACTGTCACAATTGTCCTGCTGTGGTGACGATAAATAGATGCAGCTTTGTGTCATATCAGGCCAATCTCAAGACTGTCGACTTTCCAAGGCAAGTGGTGGTTGGACGGCATGCCATCTAACCTTATTCATGACGCAAGATTTAGCGAGTGGAGAAAGATTCCGAGCCCCGAATATCGAGTGATCTACCATCGATGGCTACTAAACCACTAAGGCAAAGACTCACTCTAGCGTGAAAACTGCGAGCCCAGCCAGTGGATAGTTCTGGAATGGCTTTGATTACACGTCCTTGTGAGAGAGTATAAGATGGCAACTTGAGTTCGATCCACTAGCTGGATCATGGCAGACTAGATCCACAGTAGCTCAATCCTGAAGGGACTCAATCCTGAAGGGATTCAGTGAAGTGAATGCAGTGAATGCGATATGCTTTGCATACTCACCAGGCATCCCATCCTTTTTGGCGCTCACAGAGCTACCCTGTAGAACTACTCACAAGGCCTAATCCCGAGACTTCTTCTGGCATAGTATTGCTCCTCAAGATGATGTGGACGTAATCTAAGGTGATTGAAACCTCGAACCATCTGACTCTCGCTAACTCGACGTAGTTGCAGAATAGTCTCAACTGAAAACGTCATGACAGGCTCCTCAAACTCCTTTGCGGCTAGTGCTGGTTGGCTAAGCAGCCGGAAAGACACAGAAACGTCGGTAAACAGAGGTGACACCGAACCTGATACCTCCAGCGACAGCGACAAGGACATCTTTGTGCCAACTATCTTGAGGAACCAGCAACGCCAGAGTCAGGATCCGCACCACGTCAACGATCTCGCCAGAGACATAAGCCTGTCTAACGCGTTCCAACGGTCCTCGGGAAACGGGGCAGTCCAAGGCGCGTCAACGACCTCCGGGCAGCAGAATCAGCACCAGCAATCCATCGATAGTAATATTGTGAGTTCCTGGGCCGTTGCCTTCGGATCTTCAGTACATGTCCAGGAGGGCCACGCCCAGACGAATCAGATCGGAGACTGCCATTTTGACAAAGGTTGTGACACTTCCGTATCGACCCGTCCCCCTTATAAACCATTTGGCCAGAGAAGAGCGACTCGGCCCAATTCTATCAACTTTCGGAAATCTATCAGAGGCCGACAGGATAGCAATGTTCGTACACATGATGCTGATGGGGACGTTATCATGAGGGATGCTTCTTGAAATGCATATTAATTTGCCTAGTAGCATAGTAGTGAGGAAGGGCTCTACCGGATGAGACTTAATACTTCTGGTACACGGAAGATTCCTCCTTTAGTAGTAGATATTATAATGACACTTGACTAACTAATCTGTGTGCCCAGAAAGTAACCGCAGTAGTAACCCCAGTATCATTGAACGATTTTGAATCCATACGTTGCACTGCCGCCCTCCTGCTAGCGAGACTAAAGCCTTTAGAACTTGTTAATGTGCCATGGTTGAGAGGATAGGAGTAACACACTAGGACAGAAGAACAAGAGACTAAGACCCCAACAATGATTCATCATTCATACAGACTAAATCTACACAACAATCCTCCGCTCCTTAAGATACTCATAATCCGGCAAGGACTCCAAAACCGCCTCGTGCAACAGCTGCGCCGCCTCATCCCCAAACTCAGCCTTCCACTTCTCCACCTCCACAGCAACATCAATAGGCCCCGAGGGCGTCTTATCCTTAACAATCCCCGACGACGCATCCACCGTCGAGCGCATAACACAATTTATCTTAATCCGCATCTCATAATGCTCATTATCCGTATCATGCATCCCCGGACCCGTCCCCTTGACTTTCTCCTCACTCCACTCATACTGCATCTTCTCAGGATCCAACCCCGTGAGCTCACAAAACCGCTTCACCGCGGCCGGATTATGAGTAACATCATCCGCATCGATCAACACAGGCTGCGCACCCTGTTGTTCCAAACACCAATCATACACCATGCGGGTCCACCGCAGCGTCGTATTCGTCTTCCACACCCCCATGAACTCCTTATCGCCCATGCCTCCGAAACCCTTGATCTTGGTCATGGCGCGATACATCGACGCCCATGCTAATGCCGGGTGTCGGATGATGAACGCCACTTGCCAGCTGCGGAGGTATTCATCCGGCAGGACGGTCTTGTTCGAGGACGAGAAGCTGTTCGGGCCGTAGCTGCTCTTGGATAAGCGCAGCTGGAAGGTTTTGAACAGCTCCGGGTCCTCCTTTCCGGTCATCAGTTCGTACATTACTGCCGGGTTCATGAACCAGTATGCATGTTCCTTGATGAACATGGCTTTGTCCGCATTTTGTGCCCGTTCCGAGTACTCTTCCAGACTCGAGACGCAGCCATGGAATGATGCCTTGATTTCTTCTCTTTGGGCGTCTGTCCACTCGTTCAGTGGCTTGTCGGTGTACCCGCCGTGAATGGCGGGCGCGAAGGCCGGGAAGAAGAAGTAGCCGCCTTGTTCGTTGGTCAGGAACTTGGGCTGGTTGTGGATGTCCACGATCTTCAGAAGGAGATGGGATGCTGAGCGTGGCACGCTGATGAGGAATACCCGACGGGGTGGTGTAGTGGCAGTCATAGTCATTGTGAGGGGGAGAAAGTATTGATTGGAGCTCAATTGATGATTTACAAACTTGATGGTGTCATCCACTCCAGACTGGGTTCCATTGAGGCTTATATACTTTCTTACGATCCCTTCCTAGGCAGTAGGCACATAGTTTGGAGCCGCACGCATCCCAGACTTGGAGAGCTTCCCTATCCTGGCAGTCCCTTTTTTTCGCCCCCAAAACCACTAATGCAGTTGTATAGTAGCGAAGCATACTAGCTCGGCCATATCCAGACTAATTATCTCCCACTACCTGCGAATAACCGACACGTCCAATCAACATATTTCCGTAAGCACTAACGACCCCGAACGGTTATTACCGTCTGACCGGGCACAGAGCCCAACATTGATTTCATAAAGAAATTCGGCCGTGCTAGTCCCCACTTTCAGCTGTCTAAGTACCCGCTGGATAAGAGGGGCTCCGGTTAGCCTCCTCCCGAAGCCATTGGAGATAGTATCAATGTGTTGGCAGCGTTACATTCATTCCGTCAATTCCCTGGTTCTAGCTCATTGTCAGGATTCAGGTAATCTTTGTTCGTGGAGAAGTTCAGCCAGCCACAGTACCATGGGGTACACACCTGTTTACTAGTTAATTGGTTGTAATTTCTTCCAGCCTTATAGCACCGCTTTGCACTGCCTAGTAGCAGTCCTTGATCTCGCTCGTTAGGGCAGGTAGATGATACGTTTCATTTCATGGATAAAGACAAGTGTGATACACATTCATTGATGCATACAAATATGTTGTATTATTCATTCATAATATATGAACCCCATGCTAGCTCCCAATACGCCGTCATCTGTGAAACCAAGGCTAGTCATACAAGCTGCTATATCATACCCAAGATATCACTGTAACATTACCATGCACCCGCATCATTATCAAATCGAGACAGTTCTTTTTGCGCGTCCTCCACATCCTTCTTTGCCTTCATGCGCATATAGAAGATAGGACAATCCCTGGACGAGCAGATGACTTCACAGTGCAAACTGCCTTGACACCGCTGGCATTGAGTCCAGAGTCGTCCGAACCGGACTTCCAAGTCTGATACTTTGGTCAACGACTTGGTGTAGAGCTCGCCAAGGCGGGGACGGCAGTAAGCGCACACGGCGCCCTCTGCTTCTTCCTTGCCGGATAAGGGCTTCTTGCATCCCAGGCAGGTTTGCGTCTTCTTGGCGAACTTCATCAGTCCGCCCATGGTTGGCGCGGCCACGGAGATGGCACGGGTATGTTCGCCGGTGAGGAGCTGGCTGGCTTTCTTTTCTCCGAGAATGGGTTCGAAAATACGGCCGAGCGGGTTGGCTAGTTGATTGTCGAGGTAGTATTTCGTGTCGATGGGGATGTTGTTCTCAAGGACGTAGATCGGATCCTCGGACCTTTCGTAGTTCTTGGACCCTCCGGCACCCTTGATAATGACATATGCCACACGGTCGCCAAGCGTGGGTGCTGAACCCGCGTCACGCTTCCTCATGCGCTCCGCAAGTTCCACGTGTGCCTGCTTCGCCGTATACGCATCCTTGGACAAGGCCTTGGTGATCACGAGCTTCGACATATCGATCTTATTTTGCAGAAGGTCGGAAATGGTGTCCTTGACGTAGCTGCAATACAGTTAGCAACAAACAAAGAGGCTTACGCAACTGATCTTACTCTTGTGCCCCATCAATGTCCCGCTCAACCAGAATCTTTTGTAGGACCGTCTCGATAACATTCTGAACCAGCAGGCAGTTGTCGCGACGGACTGTTTCGATACCCTTCGTATCCATCTTGTCGTATTTGTTGGGGTTCGTCCAGTATAATCCGGCGTACCGCTTCTTGTTGATCAGAAGATACGGGAAATAGACCTTTTCGAACTCCAGTTTGATCGGCTTCAGGAACTTGGACGAGACGTATTCGGACGCCTCTTGTCCAAGCTTCATAGCTTCCTCCAAGTTGTCAACGCCAAATTTGACCATGACCGAATCAGTATCACCATAGATGACCTTGGCATCATGAGAATAACCATTCGCAATGGTGTACCGGGCTTCCACCTCCTGTTTCGTCTTCTCGATCATCTGTCGTCCATAACTGGTTGTACTACTCGCGATAGGCAAGCAGGGCAGCTTTCCGACAGTGGCACCTGTGAGACCGTACACACTGTTTGCGCTAATCTTCAGAGCGAGCTGTCGTCCGTTCAAGACAGCTTTCTTGAACGGATCAGTCTCAGTGGCTAGTTCTTTCTTGGCACGTTTACGTGCAGACAGCAGTTCTTCCAGAATCTGTGACAACAGGCCTTTGCGAACTTTGGCGGTACAGAACATGTCGCCATTAGGGGTCACGATGTAGTCTTCATCCTTTACAAGCTTCAGCCTTTCAACACTATTCTTATTCAACAGCGTTGTGTAGCAGAGATTATGGGCCTGGATGATGGACGGGTATAGGGATGCGAAATCGAGGGTTGCGATAGGCACACCGTAGTAGCCCCTGACAGGCTCGATAACAGTAGCACCTTCGTAGTCTTGTTCGTCATTGGACTTCGTATTCGGGATGACAAGCTGCTGCTCCAAAGCCTTGCGGAACAGCTGACTGATGAACTTAACTTGCTGACCGCGTGATAGCAAAAAGTTGAAGGGCACACCCGTCACTCTTGCCATTTCGGTGTAGTTGACCAAGCACATCAACTTGTCCATCAATCTCTGCGGTAGATATGCATCCTTCAAGCAATAGACAGCTAAACGCCGTCGAGAATCGGGAGTTCCGTTATATAGCTCAGTGATCATTGTGTGATGGACATCCTCCTTCTGTTCGCCCAAGAATTCATAAGACACCGAGTTCAGGGTATAACTTCGCAGGTGATAGTCTCGCTGTACCAACTGAAGCATGTCGAGTTGGATTCGACCATTAGTGTTCGTTGACTTCGTGTCACGGTTACCCATCTGCTTGCTGGAAAAGTTGGTTTCCTTGCTTTGCGACTGCACACCGTTCAGTCTGGTCCAGTAGGGGAAGCCGGTGCATTTCAGATGCTTGGCGCGATCCAACAGATACGGAAAATCGAAGTTGGCAATGTTGTAGCCGATGATGACATCCGGGTCCACCTTCTGCACGAACTCGCGCCAGGCCATGAGCATCTTCGCCTCGTCCTTGAATTCCAGGATTTGAGTGTTGACGATTAAACTGCATGTATCCAAAACAAACACATTACGAATAAATGGTTTAGACTCTCCGTAACGCGTTACGACATTGGCGATCTGAATGACTGGGTCGTGATTCGGTTCAGGGAAGATACCCTTTCGTCCAGCGCACTCGATATCGAACGACAGAATGCGCAGCGGGGCCATCTTAGCCCACTCGCCGTTGGGTGGATGGGAGATAAGGTCTCGGTAGTCGACACTGGCCTCAATCTGACAATTCGACACCTTCTCATGTTGTTGGAATAAGCGGTACTTCCCAGCCTTTGCTTCAACCCAAGACATGCCTGAGATATCCGTGTCGATCATGAACCGGAGGAGGTATTGGATGCTGTCGAATGTGAGGATACCGCCATCAGAGTTGTTCCAGAGCCCTTTGTAGTTCAAGCTTTGGGCACCGCCCTGTTCTAACGCGGAGCGGACTTTGCTGAT